AATGTAAATAAGGGGTCTGGAAACGAGATTAAGAAACATCTGTTTCTTAACAGTAAAACAATAAAAGCCTCAGCGTACTGTTGCGTACTGATACGAAACGTCAAGTTATTAAAATGCGTAAGTTTAATATGTTTATCACCGCTATTTGTGTTTTATTCATTGTTTGAGTTACAAGAAATCTATCATTCTGAACAACATCCAACTGAGTAATATTTATTTCTTTCAGTATTCGCTCGAGATTTCTACGAAGTAATAGTTCAGTGATGAGATGGTTTTAGTAGAATTTAAGAAAGTGTCTTTCAAGTAATCATTTTTTATTCTTCCTCTACATTTCGGTATTGTTAAACATCACCCTTTAGCAGAAACGCTTGCTCATAGCAAGTGGCTTGAATTGGGATTCTTTTCTAATGTTGATCTGATCCAAGATTCTACTGCTACTATAAACTCACAAGGGCAAAAATCACCTTCAAAAATACAATTACAGTAAACGATACTTACTTTTGCCTTTGAGCATTTACTGAGTAAACAGTATTTCGAAGTTTCTCGATCACCGCCGTGTTCGAAGACATAACATGCTTATACACAATGAAAATGAAGGTTCAAAGCTGAAGACATCTTTTCTCCACAACTTCGGCCGTTTTTCATTTGGAAAACCTCTTAACGAAGGGTATATTTAAGACATAATGTGAAACTTGCAAGAAAATCTTAGTAAGGGAAGCTTTTTCTAGTAGCTATATCCTCTATTGTGTAAAAAGTTTATTCCTAAAGGCTGATTTTATTCCTTCGTTAAATTCGATATTTCGAAATTAATGTTCATATAATCACGAATTACATTTCAATGCAGAAGACTTCAGGTCACCTGGCGAAGAAGAACTACTTCGAGACATTTCTACCTTTTACATACAAAACATATTTGTAAGATGACCTACATTTAGAACATGGCAAATGGCAGTGAAGTATACCGAAAACTTTTCGAATTCCATTGTTTTACCATTCACCTCTTTGCTAGTTCGTTTCCAGCGCGTTCGGTTAATAGTTTGACGCTTATAAATTGGAATGTAAAACTGTTCGCTAATTTCTCGGAGTGAAAATTGTATTCACCTCGTCCTAAACAGAATTCACTGCACTCTTTTATTCAATGGCACACTGAGCTGTAGCTAGTAGTTCAATACTTGGTGTTTCTTAACCATTAAAACAGACCATGAATTCTAACTTTTCAAAGACAAATCAACGAATGATAACCTGGCAAAAAATATGACCGCGGTATTTCAAATTATTACATGTCATTTCTTTAGTTCTATAGTTTTTTC